AAAAATGAGAATCCATTACAATTAATTTCAATTCTAATTTTGAGTCCCGTCTCAAACAGATGAACGGGATAAACCATTCCGATTTTGATTTTGATTTCGATTTCGATTTCGATTTCAATTCTAGTTGAGTACTAAATACACTCTTAATATCCCCAATAAACCTATTAAGAGAAATAAGGTTACATATATGGGTGTTTTGCAAAATCGATTCTAGTGATATTCCATTCAAATTGAATGTTGGTGGGGCTTGTCACGGAAGCCTAGGGGTAAGTGGAGGAGGTGGTGTGGTGAGAAATAATTTTGCTGTATTTTGTTTTTCTTTTCAAAGTTTCCATGGTTAAGGTATGTCTTTGCCGATTTCTTAGCTCTTTGGGATGATCATTGTTTATGTTACAATTAGGACTGTCAATGGACCGGGTATTGGTGTAACTTAGGCTGGTCCGGTATGAATCCATTACAGATGGATCAGGTTCAATCCAATTCAATTCAATGAATATTTTGGACCATTTTGGACTAGTCCAATTCATTGATTAGACCATTCAATCAGTTCAAATTAGTTTTAGTTTAGATTGAGTCTAACAGAAACTTGATCCGTTGATACTCATACCGATATCTTCAATCAATGGACTGGTTATTGATTCAACCCAACCCAGTCCAATATAAATCTATTATAGATCGAACAAGTCCGATCCAACCCAATAATTATTGATTATTACAGTAATTTAAAAAATATATAATTAGTGATTATAATTAATAATTATTGTTATTATAAATATTGTTAATAACTAGATGTTTACTTTAAATTAAAATTATAAATATTGTTATTAATAAATTGACTAATTATTGTACTGTTATTAATTACTGTAATTTAATAATTACTGATTACTACAGTAATTTAATAAATATAAAATTAGGGATTATAATTAATAATTACTGTTATTATAAATATTTTTAATAACTAGATATTTACTTTAAAATTATAAATACTGTTATAAATTACTGATTAGTACAGTAGTTTAAATTTAATAAATATATAATTAGTGATTATAATTAATAATTACTGTTATTATAAATATTGTTAATAAATAGATATTTACTTTAATTTTATTTTAAATTAAAATTATGACAACCGATGGTTCAACCGTCTTGTTCGAACGGATGGCCCATTCTAACAACAAAAATTACAAGCAAAAATTACGAAACCATTATGGCCACCGGTTTTTGGGTCGACTATTCAATCATCCGGCTTGAACGGACAGTCCGTTTTGACAACAAAAATTCTAGGCAAAAAATAGAGTTTGTGAGGTCCATTAAATGGTATCATACGTGTTATGTCATTCGAGCGTATGACTCATACGATCCGAAAATGGAACTGTTCTATCCATTGGTTTTTGGGTCAACGGTTCGACTGTTCGATTCGAACGAACGACCCGTTCTAACAACAAAAAATTAAAAGCAAAAAGTTACAAAACCCATAAAACAGAACTAACTATTTTATGAAATATTTGTCATGAACAAAAGATTCCATAATCCACAAACCCAGTATTTTTCTTTATTTTTTTTTTCTTTAAGGCTACAAACCCAGAAAATTATGTTTCACGTCTTCATAGATTACTACTAGAGAAATATTTAAAGGTAACTAACATTTCTACTACATTATTATGTGGAAGAGAAGTTTTTGAAAATAAGGTTGGTTGGGCATACGGCTTCATACATTACTCCTCACTGCACAGAACACATGGCTTATCTGATTTATAACAACCATTTAATAAACGTTCTGAATTGCCCACAGCCACGGGATCCTCATAAAGGCCAAACAATGCTAGTCTGGACCTCTTGCTGGAGTAGAGTAGTTCACTCCCAAGCCCAGCCCAAATACCAATATTTCCCCATAAAGCCCAGGTCAACTATATATACATATGGATCTGGATTGTAGTACAGTGGAAAAACCTTGTAGTTTTTCACAAATTGGCTCTATTCCATCTCTTTTACAGTGATTTGAGTTTTGTTTTTCCAATCCTTATAATTTGTTTTGTTTGTTTTGATATAAATAATAAATTGCAAGGGAAATAATATCTTTTCTGGTACCCATGTTTTTTTTTTTATTTTTCATGTAAAATTCATTATTAAAAAGGGTATTTTTGTCCCATTGAAGTATTAGTGACTTCTCCCCCCCGCCCTCCAGATGGGAAAATTATTTATTTACCTAAGAGATTTCACATAAATCTGAAAAAAGAACAAAAGGTTTCTTGGGACCAAACCCCCCCCCCCCCCCCCCCTTGAATGGCCATTCCTTTGAAAAGGGAAAATGTCATCCCACCAGAGATGGGAATATGATTCCAATTCTTTCCATTCAAACAGTTGAAATTGAAATGGGCCATTCTGATTTTGATTCCTTATTATGTACATAGAAAATTCCTTTTTTTGTTTGGTAGAAGCCAAGTTCTTCTCTCGTGTTGTATACATTATATTCACATACATTAAATTTCTGATTGGTAAAAGAGTGATAGATAGAAAATTAGAAGTGTTATAAACATTTGATTGTAATAGTTGTATATTTCCTTTTTTTTTTCTTTTTTGTATTACTGTTTTAGTTTTGGTGCTGGTTATAAAAGTTAATGTGATTATATAATATTTTTGTATTCTTTACCATTTACTTAGAGGTAATTCTCTTACAGTATAAATATCAAAAGGGTAAAATATAAAAACCTCTCCTGAAGTTTCTGACAATCATAAAGACCTCCTTTGAGGTTTCACTTTCATAAAAACCTCCTTGTTGTTTACAAAATCATGCATTTACTTTCCTTCCATTTTTGTTCAGTAATGAAGACTTCAAAGTTATGATATTATCCTTATCTTATTAGGGAAATGTTTCAATATAATTTAAAATACCAGATTTGCCCTTGTAAAGATTCTAAACTTCATTAGACCTAATGTTTTTATAGAATAAAATTACTTTATTCTTTTCCATCTAACTCAAAGATCTATTTTAATTAAAAGTGAAAAATTCTTTTGGGGGTATTTTAGTATATTTTCATGTAAATTGATAGATTTAAGAGTAAAATGAATATGCATTAGACTATCTTTTTCTGTCAATGACAATAAAAGGAGGAGGGAGGGGGGGGGGGTTGCAATACTAGAATAGGGTTTTTGTGAAAATGAAACCATAGGTTAATTTTTGGGCCTTAATATCATAAAAAATAATCATTTTAATATATTTTCTTAAATAAGTTATTTTTTTTTCTAAAATATATCAAGGGCAAAAACATTGTTCATCTTCTTCCTCCTCCAAACCACTTCTGCCCCAGGCCCCACAAATCTCAATGACCACCACCCACCAGTGCCTCCACCACCGCCTTCTTCCACCTCTAACAATGTCAATTTGACGAAATGCCTCTACTACACCAATAACTACTGCCAATCTGTTGACGTGGAGTCTCTTTGAATAATTTTTCCTCTAGAAGAAAAATGGTAGAGGCGCTAGGAGGGGAAGAGAGATGGGGCTTTTTCTGAGAGCCGTCTGTATTTGTTAACTTCTCGTGGGACAAGTGTTGTGTCCGGCTCTGAGCCACTTTTGAATCGATGAGCGATCGTAGGTCTGCCCCGTTGATACCGTTACAGGATCGGTCATTATCTCAAGAGAGATGGGGCCTCGGGAATCCTCTGAGTTCAGGCAACTAGGCACCTCCGAGTTGTATCTTGCTTCCAATCTGTTGGTGCGTCTACCGTTCATAGCATCGAACATCACGACATAGCAATAGCTCATAAACCCCACTAGACTGATTAGGAGCAACGCCTCCTAGTCATCCCCATCCAAACTCTCCAAATCAATCTCCCCGTCCAAGAATCTGATCTCGTCATTGCACTTGTTCCAGCTTCGGATTTGGAGATGGTCGAGAACACGCCTGAGATCATTGGGGTTGGGCGAATCCCTGTTCTCAAATTTATTTAGAATCGAAAGAACACTCCTGGCGGCGAGTACGTCATCTGGGTCGACATCAAATTTTGCCTTGTGCGCCTGCTTGACTACTAATTCGACCAATTCCCTCACTTCTATCGGGACGTTTATGGAGTCCAAAGGAAGAATGTCGAGCGCCGTAGCGATGGCTCGGATCAAAACGCGAGCGCCGTAGCGATGGCTCGGATCAAAACGCGAAACTCAGTCGAGATGCATTTGCACTTCATCAGAACCCATAGCCGAACACCTTCACGGGTGCAGTCTTCTAAAAAATGCCAAAACTTTTGTAAGGCGATATGGAGCTCGAAGAAGCATAGAACGACTGGATCCGGAAGAGATGATCGACAACGGTCCCAAACTTCTTCAAAGAAGATGAGGAGAAGTCCAATTTGGTGAATCACTTATCGCGCATGTCGCTTATGGATCACGACTACCTTCAACTGATAATCGTTGATTTCACGAGAGAGACTAATGAGATCACGGAGAAGGGTTACCGACATGACATATTCATAAGGATGAATAGCTGAAGAAGGGTCATCGAAGGCCACAGCGGCACTGGTGGATGATAACAGCATTTTTATCCTTTAATATAGTTTTTAAAAGAATCAATTTTAAAAATTATATTAAATGAATTATTTGTATTAATATTAAAGCCCAAAAGTTATAAGCTATAATCTTTTGTTAAAAACCTCCCTATTTTACCCAAAATAAAAATAAACAAACGTACAAAATCTTTAGTTTAAATCGTACGCTTTCTGAAAATTTAGTTTTGGCCATGGGACTCCGAAACATCCGAAATTTCCGCGATTTATGGTATTTATATGATAAAAACCTCATACTGGTTTTGTTTTGTAAGCGTAGGATTGGAATCACATGGATAAATGATATCGACCATTTGCTGCATTAAATGTCATTGACACCAATCCGACGGTCAAAAAGTTCAAAGTTCCTCTTCCATATGTGGATACATAATATTGGGTCTCGTCAGGGACAAAATTGATGGTAATGGTAAGTCACTTTGGTAACCCCTAAGTTGTGCAAAACCCTAAGATTATAAAAACCCTAGTCCCTTACCATCGTTTATTTCTCGCGGCGCTCCACTTCTCGTCTTCCTCTCATTTCCCTCCATCTGGTGCCGGAACCCTAAGTTCTATCTCTGTAAATTCAGCCATGCCTCCCAAGTTCGACCCCACCCAGGTCGTCGACGTCTACGTCCGCGTCACTGGCGGTGAGGTCGGTGCCGCAAGTTCTCTTGCTCCGAAGATCGGGCCACTCGGTCTCTCTCCCAAGAAGATCGGAGAAGATATTGCCAAGGAGACCGCCAAGGAATGGAAGGGCCTTAGGGTTACTGTGAAGCTCACCGTGCAGAACAGACAGGCGAAGGTCTCGGTTGTGCCGTCGGCCGCCGCCCTTGTTATCAAAGCCCTCAAAGAGCCTGAACGCGATCGTAAGAAGACTAAGAATATTAAGCATACAGGCAACATCTCTCTCGATGATGTTATTGAGATTGCAAAGATTATGAGGCCGAGATCCATGGCGAAGGACTTGGCGGGAACGGTGAAGGAGATATTGGGCACGTGCGTTTCCGTTGGATGCACGGTCGATGGTAAGAATCCGAAGGATCTGCAACAGGAAATTACTGATGGCGATGTTGATATCCCCCAAGATTGAAACGCTTGAGATAAGGACTGCTGATTCACTACATTTTGTTCTCCCCCGGCCTCCATTTTTCTTTCACTTATTTACTTCCGAATTTTAGAGAGCTTTACTTTTCCATTCCCTCTCTTATCTTTTTCTTTTGTCTCCGTTTCATGAGTTCAAGAACAAGTGGGGATATATTTGAAGAATTCGTTCGTTAGTTCTTAGATGGCTCCGGAGATGTAAGCTTGTTGTTTAGGGCTTGGATAATATCATGGAACATAATTCCCTTTGCATTTTCAATTCGGTTTTTATATCTCTTTTCAGTGCTTTATATTCAAGCTCTTTCTGTGTGGATTTTAGTTTAATGTTGGCATATAGAAATCAAATGCTTTGTCTACTTCTCTTTCATAGAGTAACCTCATTGCTGAATTACGCTTGGGAACTGGGATTAAACCTCATAATATTAGTTAATCAGTTGAGTGTATTGCTTTTGAATGCTGGCAAGGTGTAGTAGTTACCCGTCACTGCGTTACATGGATAACATTATTTGCTGCATTTGGGAGATTGTATTTGATATTGAACTTGTCTTTTATGTCCGCTTTTCATAGTTGCAGGGTAACACAATTTAGCAAGCGCAAAAGAAATTCTTAGGAAACATTCATATCACATTCTGGCTGCATATACGAGTGTTACAGTTGATCTGATAAGGAAAGTGTATTAGTTGAATTGGCAAGCCCTTTTAAGACTTTTGTTACTGGTGTGTCTATTGGACCATTTGAAATCTCCTATTATTTTTGGAAAGCTATTTTTTATCCATCATTCCATTGACAGAAGAACATTGACGGCATTTCTTATTGTTATAGTTGATTGTTGCTTTCAACATTGATGACTAGATTGACATGCTTCAACTTCATTGCAGTAGTACAATATTACCATTTCTTACCTGTCTACAAGTGGTTAGTGATGTTGCAGAGTAATTTAGAAATTGACGAGTCCCCTTACTGAAATGCAGGTTTCCTATTAAAGTGATTGTTTGAATGACCACATTGATTAGGTTGGGCTCATAAGACCTGAATTATTTAAAGTTCAAATTCATTGATTCATTGTGGGTATATGCTCCATAGGTTCGTAATTTTCTGGGATCTGATGATGGTTGCAGGTTTACGATCCAAAACCTTGCACATTTGGCTGGTAGTGCTACGCAAATGACGAATGGACCATTTGAAATCTCCTATTCTTTTCCATAGTCTGTGCTTGGTTTTATAGAGAATAAGAGAAACAGAAAGATGAAATTCCTTGGACAACTTTCCCTCAACTTCTCCTGTTTCTTTCTTATTTCCCTTCAAACCAATAGCTAAATTGTTAACGGGTTCAGTGATATATTCTAGAATAGATACAAACTAGAAAGCAATTGCTGATCTGTCTGATATAGAGAAGATTGTTCCTTGTAGGGATGAGCATGTGTCTATTCTCTTTGGTTCAAGGCAGAACCTTGAACCTTGTAGGGGTTAGTTCCAGATTTTTGGTACAAAAACCTACCCTTTTAAGATCGTTTTCAAAGTCTGTTCTGGCTTTTGTTGTTTTAAAATATGCTCCAGGGCAACCTGTTCTTTGAAAAAATAGGTTACATAGATGTATATAGTATGTACTATGTATAACTTTGTTACCATTAACTGTTATGTTTTTTTATCAATACTAACTGTTATGTTATGTTTATAGCAGATGCTTAGAATAAGTATTCTTGAGTTTAATATAGTATTATATATTGGTTCTTAAATTGTGTTAATACAACTTTAAAACATTAATAACATGTCATAGCAACATTCAAAATTATCAATATATTCACTAGAAATAATTGAATGGAAGTTATTTTAAAACCTTGTATATGTTTATTAATTGAATCAGTTTGATATATATATAAATTATCATTATATATACTGTAAAACTTGTCATTGTAATTTAAATTTTTGTAAATGTCGCCTTTATTGATTTACATTATTTATTATACACATTAAATTAAACAAAAGTTATCAATTCACTTAATTGACTCAATGTTTTAGTCAGACTGTGATCTTTGAAACCATGAATACTTTGGGTGCATTTCTTCGCATATTCAAATTATTTTGGAATTTGTTTGAGGGGTGGCTCAGCTGTTAGTTAGCTGATTTGTTTCATCTTAGATGGAGATTCGATTCCCCGAACTGACTTTTTGGTGAGTGGGGTTATTAGTGGTGTGTATCACCAAATGAAAAAAAAAATATTTTGGATTTACTTGAAGTAGTTTCAGTTCTAAGGTTGGTTAATTTCTGTTCCAGCAAAGCAAGTTCTACTAAGCGAAGTTAGGTTTGGAATCTTTGGATTAATGGCTGTTTCTTTGAGTACTGATTTGTTACCATCAAAATTCTCCCAATTCTGTCCCAACTGGCCACTGCAGCCTCACATTGGGAATATTTCCCTTGAACACACAAGACATTGGATTGGATCAATCCAGTCCGAAATAATTTATATTGGATTGTGTTGGATTAAACCATCTGGTCTATTGATATAAGATAAGAATATAGGTGTCAATGGACCGGATTTGGGTTGAAATCAAGGTTCAAAATATCATATGCCCAAATTGGCGTATTGGGCATTTTGATATTCTTTTTTTTACCTTTTATTTTTTATAATTTTTTCAAAACTGGTTCAGGGGAGCCGGTCTAGGACCTCTTCTCCATCCCCTGAATCGGTCAGACCCCCAATACACCCACCGTAGGGGCATATCGGAAGGGTCCCGGAATGACATGTATCGGTTAATACGGGCCAATACGGGCTGATATGTAATGATACTTTGAACCTTGGTTGAAATCAATCTAAATTAAAATGAATTGGAACAGATTGGATGGTTTAGACATTGAATTTGACCGGTCAAAATATCTATTGGATTTGGTCCATTCTTAATGGATTCACATTGGACTGGATTGGATTCTACCAAATCCAGTCCAAATGACATCCATACTTGGGAAAGGTGACTGTAATGACTTGTAGAACTGGGAACAGTGTTGCTAGCACACATCTAAACTCGTTGAATGCAGTTATTCTAGTTCTATGTTCACAACCCAAGAGTACTGCAACTGCATGTGTTGTCTATCGCTAATTGGTTTGTAGAGAAACTTTATAGAACAAAGGTGATGAATGGTAATGTTGGAAGCCTGTAATAGGTAGGCATCTATGATAAGGCCGCAATGGTAGTGGAAAGGAGAAGGTGAAAATGTTACAATAGGATAACACGGTGGTTTGATATATCCATCAGTTCTCCACCGGACGTTTAGGTTTTCTCTCTGGAAGATATCAATTTGCGGATCCATTCCTACTTTCACCCCTTTTATCTGGACGGAGATGCCAATTTCATCATCGGGTTTCCTGATCACGGGAATTAATATTCGCCTAGGCGTTGGTTCACCGACTGCAGGAACCTCATAAAGCATTCTCCTGTAAGGTCAGTCTCCTTTGAACCAATAACATGCAACTTTGTTTTGTATTTCTTAGCTTATGACTTTGTTCTAGGGTTAGGGGTGTCGCAATCTATCAGAATTGGGTTGGACTAGTCTATTAGTAGTCCAAAATACTTATTAGGCTGGATTAGACCTGCTTCATCTGTAATAGATTTATATTGGATCGGGTTGGATTCAATCAATATCTGGTTCATTGACAGAAGATGAGAGTGTGGGCGTTAATGAATGGAGTTTGAGTTTGACTCAATCTAAATTAAAACTAATTTGAATAAATTGGACTGTCCAAACATTGAATTGGACCAGTCCAGAATGGTCCAAAGTATTTATTAGATTGGATGGGACCTGTTTCATCTATAAAAACATATTGGACTGGGTTTGGGTGGATTGGTCCATTGACAGCCCTACCGGGCATCATTCGCCAAACTTTTTAATTCCTTATGTATGTTCTGGATGACATGTGTTGACTTATATTTTGAGATGTTCAATGGAATGTAACCTCAGTGCTGTCTAGGTATAATTTATTTTACAAAATTCAGAAGTGCTGCACATTTTGCTGAGGAAAAACTGAGGCGCCCATTATATAAAAAATCGCGAGCGCTAAGAAAATGCCTAAGGCTACATTTGGTTGCAGTGTAATTTTATTTGTACTACTACAAATGTGTGGTTGTGCAAATGGAAAGAATGTAAATTCTAGTTTAATTTTGTATTAGATTTTTATTTTTATTTATTTTTATGTCTTATTTTATTTCATTTATATTGGAATCTAATAAAATAAGGTAAATTTTGAAATAAAAATAAATCAGAATTTGCACCCAAAATATAAAATCAACAAACATAATTTGTTTGAAAGATAGAGATAATCGCTAAAATGTACATAAACATAGGCATTCTTGATTATTTAGAAGAGAAGATATGACAACCACATTATCTCAAGTTTTCTCCTTCCCCATATATAAGTTGTCAATCGATCGGTTTTGGATTGGATCTGATCTGATCGAAACCTTGTCAAATTGGATTTGGATGGTCCATTATATTTATTGGATTGGGCTAATCCAAATAAGTTGGTCCATATTCTTATTGGTCTGAATTGGACCTAAACCAAATTTTCAATAATCCGATCATGAGGCCAAACTTTGTCCAATTTAAAATTGATCAAAACTGAAGTCAATACAAAATCACTTTTATGAAAGTATTTTTACAAAAATACTTTTATAAAAACACTTTTACAAAACACTTTTATAAAAATAATTTTACGAAGAGTATTTTTATGGAATCACTTTTTTAATAGTACTTTTATACGAAAGCACTATTGTAAAATCACTTTTACAAAAAAAAATTTATAAAAGCATTTTTATAAAAGTACAAAGCAATTTTATGAAATGAAAGTACTTTTATATAACACTTTTACATATCTAGTTTCCATTCGCCTTTTGGTCAATGTATCTGCGTAAAGGATGTTGCTAATTGGGTTTTGTTAGCACTGCTCCTATCATCGTCATTCTCTCCTTGAAGCACAGTCAAGTTACATTCTCCCTTGAGTTCCTTGCGTTGATTAAAGGTGTACTTTTTGCTCTAGAGCTCGAGTAAAGCCTAATTGGCTTTGTGAAGCAAGCTAGGAGTTTGGGTAGCAAAGTATCTGAGTGGTAGGTGATATTTTAATGAAATGGTGCTTGCGATTGATCAGTGTATTTGAATATTTTGCATCCAATGTATACAGAGTAGTGATGTTCATGATATTGATTGACACCAGTGTCACCTGGATTCTTTGCATCTAGTCTCATTGTTAGCCAAGGAACGAAACTAGCAGTAGAGACAAGGTCAAGGAGCCGTGTGGCTC